GTTCCACGCGTCCTCTGCTCCAGAAGTTTCCCGGTCAGCTTTGGCAGACCACCAGGAATGCAGGGTGACTTTCCCTGTGCTCAAAACCTAAAATGAAAGCCAAGAAAAATCATAGAGTAGGTAAGGTTGAAAAGATCTCTGAAATTACCAAGTGCAACCAGTAACACAGTTAGTGAAGACTGCTGCACCCAAACCTTATTTTATAAATCTGACCAAATCATAACTAAATTAAATTATTGAGCCTAATAACTAGAACAGGATTTTGAACACTGGGTTCTGCGTTTTACAGCACTGAGCACAATGAAACTGATAAAGGCCCATACTTTATTAAGTGCCTTTATTAAATGTCATGACTCTGCTTAGTTTTCATCATCTAAATGCTTGTGTAACTTCGAAATAATGCTTCAACTTTTAATTTTTCCATCATATGAATCCTGCCTAATTCGTTTATTCTACTTTAGGCAGTATTTAAAAAATATTATCCCTATTGTACCTGGTTTATTATCTTTTAGCTAGAATATTTTAATACTCTCTGATTGATAGTCTTACCAGTATGCTGTATTTCATGAGGTCAGCATCCTGGAAGTTATAGGTCTCTCCTTTGTGTGTCTGATCCCAAAGGGGATCTGATTTTCAGAGAATGAGTGTGTGAGCATTTTTAAAATGTAGGTGGCTTTCCTCTAGTACTGGTTAACAGAGTCCTGTGACAGTAAATGTAACTGGGATCCATCACCCTGGGGGATAGGGCTACAACATGCATTAAATTTTCACACATCTCTAGGAGACATTCCAGGTGCTAAAGCACGTGCCTGCTGCCAGTTTACATTCTGGAATATTGTGCATGCTTGCAAACTGCAATGAGTGTCCCCTAGATCCCATGCTGTGTCTGAAATAAATTCCTCTGCAAATGCCTAAGCTACCTCAGGGTGTGTAAATGGCCCAAGGCACACAGGGAGCTCCCAAGCCCAGTGTCTATTTTTACTTAGGCAGTGCACCTAGGTGGAGGTGTGCCATGTACTTTTCTGAATATATGAAAATAAAATAACCACGGATCACATCGAGGACACAGGACATGACTCCAAAGAGCTCTGCTGAAATATCCACATCTGGTCTGTTGCATGATACTTTATTTGTCCCAGAAGAATTAAGATGATAGATGATAGCTGGGGTTTGAACTTGTGCATCAGGAAGGCCACTTTGAATACAAAGGGGGCAGTATGTGTTTTGTGAACTACCGATGCAAAGAGGCTGTAGCGGAGGAATGGCTTTCAGTGTCACTGGAATTACGGCATTTCTGTGGAAACGAGGCCGTTGTTTACAGTCCTGTGTGCAGTTGGTGAAGCCGGCTCGCAAACGGGGTGTGGTGGGGTTGTGGCAGGGGAGGCAGAGGTCCCTGCGGAGGCTGCCCCCACCGGGGCTCCCAGCGCTCCCAGTCCGGGCAGCCTCGGCCCCAGTGCCTTGCTCTGCAGGGAGGGCTGCGACCCCAGGAGCAGGAGCCAGAGGAGGTCACTACGCCTGCCTGGCGTGTGTGAAGCTGTGTGTGTGTCTGTGGAACGTGGGGAAGAGCTTACCACCCGAGCAAGACTTAACTGCTGAAGGAAAAAGAGGAATTTTGGCCGGCACTCACTGTAAATTGCTTTGTTTTGTTTCTGTAGGCAAACCAGAGAGGAGGAGTCTGAAGAGGTGACATTCTGTCCTGTGTGCTTTGAACGTGGTGACTGAAGAAAACAAAGTCCTTCAGGTGACACATCTTAAAAAGTTGGTGGGGGTTTTTTTTTGGTTTATTTTTTTGTTTGTTTGTTTTTGTTTTATGGGGTCTTTGAAACCAGCAGACAGCTTTTGAAAATAAAGGGTTTAGCGTTAGATTCTGGAAGCTGATACTCTTTTGTTAAAGGCATTGATGAAAAAGATCTTCTCCAATACAGAAAGGAATCGCAGACCCTGTGATGGCATAATTATTCCTCTCCAGAATCCCTCTTATTTATTTATTATTTTTTAATGTATAGTTTATTTATGGGTTATTTATGGGCTATTTATTTATTTATTTATTCATATGGTTCTCTCTGTAGGAGAGATGAAAAATACAGAAGGAAGTGGAGACCCTGTGATGGCATAATTATTCCTCTCAAGAATCCCTCTTGTTTATTTATTTATGTATTAATTCATTATATATGTATAGTTTATTTATAGTCTGTTTATGCATTTATTCATTATTTATGTATTTATAGTTTACTTATCTATGTATTTATTTCTTTATATGGTTCTCTCTGTAGGAGAGGTGAGAGCTGCGCTGTGTCTCTGGAAGGCCGTGTGATGCTGAGCAGCCGCTGGGAATTGCCCTTTTCCCGTCGCTGCGGTCGGGTTTGTACTGAGTGCCCTCTGGAGGTCTTGGACACGCAGCGACCCGAGCGAGTCCCGGCTACGCCGCTGTGCCGGAGCTCTTCAGGACTCCTCGCTTCAAAGGTTCTCCCTCTTTTTTTTTTTTTTTTTCCCCTCTCCTTTGGGAGAGATATTCTAGCCGACCTAAACGAGCAGAACACAGCTAAATCAGCTTTTAGTTTGAGTCAGAATTACAGCATATGAGTTACTCAGAAAAGGTAAAAAAAAAAAATTAAAACTTCATCTGAATTGCCAGACAGCCAAACAAAATCTGTTTCATATTTAGGAGCTTTGATTAGCTTTATCAATATATCAAAGTGTGCTTCCTACTTATATTTTTGTTTTCTCCCTAGTTCTCGTTGGGGCTAAAGGGAAACTGCTAAAATACCCTTTGAGCCTCTTCTTGCAAGATATGTCAGAGATCTCAGGGGAAGCGTGTTATCCTTATTTTTCCAGCCAAGTTCTGTAGCCAGAGGAACTCTGGATAGCTTCAGTAACTATAGTAACTTTTGGGTGCTCATCTGGTTTTCTTGTAATCTGTAAATTCTCCACTTTTGTCCACTTATTCCCCTAAGTGTATCAGTTAAAATAAATAGGTGCAGTTGCCCGGACCAGCATGCTATCTTCATTCAAGATATGTATGAAAAAATCTGACTTGAAGAAGCAAAATTCAATATTGCATTATTATTAATAATATTTGGTTCTAACATGGAGTTTTGCCTCTAAAGAACATTTAGAAATTTTTTTTGGACTCTTGATACGCTTACTTTGCTGCTAGTGTAGCAGGTGTTTTTCTTAACCATTTTGAAGGAGAAATCCTAAGTTTAGAGGAAATGAGCATTCAATTATTTAAATTTCCTGAGCTTAGAGGAAGAACACTTTGCCAAACAATGCCTCTTCACTTCAAAACCTCTCCCCATAAATTATGTTAGGGGATCTTATTAAAAGTCTTTAAAAATTTCCTATTAAAAATGGTTGATTGCAGTCCAGACCATCACAGCTTTTGTGCTTTCAGTGAAATACCACAGCTGTCGCAAAGAAATATATTGTGAGACAAAAGGTTTTGTTTCCTTAGCCATAAATTATTTCTGTGATATCTGAAGTAAGATAAAACTTTCACTTATGTTTGAGTGAAGGAAGATTCCAGTGATAACTTGTTCAAAATCTATAAAAAGAATATAAGAATGTAGATCTAGATAGCAAATTAGAATCAGACTTCCTTTTTGTTTGAGGAAAGCAATTATTTCTGAAGCCAGTGAAGATTATAACCAGGGATAATAGCATAACTTTGCAAAGCACTGTGCCTTTATCTCAGTAGAACCTGAAGTTTAGGCTTTCAAGTCTGACCTTTGAGAACTCTACAACAGAAACCTTTAGTGTTGGGCAGTTTTTAAACCAAAGTTAAACAATAGGAAGTAATCTGTTTACTAACTGTACTATATCATATTATGCTATAACTATAATACATTACATTAGATTGCAATAAAACAAATAAACAGACCTCTTTTTATATTTAAAGAAGCATCAAACAAGTCAGGTTTGACCATATTTGTTTTTCTATTAGCAAATTATTTTTTTTGCTGTGAGATTCTGCAGTAACCTACAGGGAACAGGCTGTGAAGTATTTGCTGTCAGGACTGAATTCTGTGTTCACCCTGTCGAGGAGTAGGAGCATATTCCAGGTATGACCTGTGAAGGTAATGAAAATATGAAGTTAGAGCATATATACTAAAAATTATTTGTCCAAGTATTTTGCCAAGTAATTTTAAACAAAAGATATATTAGGACATTCACAATTTGTTCATCCATCATTGTTTTATGGATAAAGATCAAATTTCTCAGCCTCCTCCCCTGCTCGTTATAGAGATCACTGAATAAAGAAATACAGGACAGGTGCTAGAACTCAGAATTGGAGACATTTTAGGTTACATATGGGAAAAATCAATGTGCTTATTCTAATTATCAATAACAGTAATAACTAAATCAGTTCTCTTTACCCAGTGCCATCTCAAGAGTTTACTGGAATTGGTTTGTTTGTGTATTTAAATCAGGAGTGTACAGAAGAAAAATGCAAGGTGAACTTTTCTTCTGTTGTGCAAAGAGGAGTACACAGCCTTGATCTTTCAGTAAGATTCATTACTGTGGCCCCCTACGTTTTTCCTTCTGAATGATTTTGCTTGTAAATCAAAATTCATTTCCATAGTGCTTTTTTCATGGCAACATGTGCCATGCATTCTTTGGGTCAAACTTAGGCTGAAAGAATTATGAAAATAAATATAAATCAAAATAAGCAGCACTTGGGAATTATTTCCCTTGTGAGGATGAAGATATCTATTCCATATCCCATATACCTGGGGCAGGGACAAGGTGGGTCAGCTGTTTGTGGAATCAGGAGTTGATGCACACCAGTGTGGATGAAATACCTGGAGCACACAATTCCATACTGCTTCAGCCACTACCAAAGGATGTGTGGGGCATGTGGGGGTCAGGAGGGAGCACCTAAAACCTCTGTACCCTTGTAGGGTCTAGCCCTGTGTTCTCACTCATGCTGAATGGCCTTTTACAAGTAATCCCTCTGATGTCAGAGAGACTTTTCTGTAATAAAATGCTGTCTGACAAGAATATGGATATCAGAATCTGGCCCTGCTTGTACTAATTCCATTTTAATGAATACTTAAATGGAATTGTTATTAAAAAAGTCTATTTCCTAATATTCAATAAATCAAAACTATAAAATCAGCTTGCCAGTTGTTGCCATGCTAGTCAAAGTAATTTTCTCTTGTATTGAAAATAGTAGTACATACTGTCTCCATTCAGGAGGGATTAATTGTAATACTTTTATCTGCTTCATAAGATTTATTTCTAATAACGAAGAGCAGAGAATAGTAGGGGAGCTTTAAGCTTTTATTGTTTTTATTAAAGAACCTTATAGTCATGAGATGTTCCACAAACATGGAACTCGCTTAACAGAAGCATGTTTCATGAATGAGCAACTTCAAGCCAGAGTTTTAAAAAACATTTGTTCATTTCTCTGATCATATCCATTTAATTTTATAAGCAGGAACCTTGGGCACTATGTGATAATGCAGAGATACACATTAAAACCTGCTAAGATTTTGTAGGCTTGTCATCTGATGAAGAATATTGCAGCAGTGTTGTGGGGTGCTGCTGGGAGAGTCACCTGAGATCAGTAGCAAAACAAAGTTGGGTCTCCATAGGGTAAATGTTTTGGGTTTCACGTGGTTTCTCCCTACAGATGGAAGGGGACTTATCTGCTGAACTTCCATGGTGACATCCACACCGAGGACTGGGAAGTATGCTTACAATGCTGTTTGACTTCAGTGCACATTAACCAAATAAAAACTAAAAGCAGTGAAAGGAGGGCAAAAAAGAAACTGAATTCACTTAAGTCAGTGATAAACATGCTGTTGTATTAAAGCCTGGCAGAAAACTTGTAACAGAGTATTTCCTTGGAATTTGCTAACTCTTTGATATCCAAATGCTTCACAAGGGTGGGGAGTATTCGGTTCCCTCAAGATGTTCTTCTAGACAACAGGCCAGTTTTCTGATTTTATCCTTTTCCACATGCCAGGTTTCCAGAGTGTCTAGCTTTGATGCAGTCCTGGTGACACCCTGATGTGGGGCTAAGGATGCCAACTCCTCCATTGCAGCATCCTACCAAGTTGTTTTTATAAATTATGCATTTTCTCTAACCATAAATATTGTCCCTAAAAGGGATACTGAAATGAAGAGAATATGACTTTTCAGTAATAGCTCTTCTAATGTCAGCCATTCTGTTTAAACTGTTCAATTTTCAACAGAAAGATCTATGCAGTATATTCTACCTCCTGCAGACTGCAGTTGTTAAAAGAAAATAAATCACTTAAACAGGGTCATGAGCAACAAAGGCCAATGTGGGTTCAAAGTTTACAGGTCTCTGCATTTATCAGGTAGAAATATGCTACATTTCACTATTTCATAAAATATCCTTTTATGAAAAAGCCATCAATCTTTGCATGGCCTACTAAAACTGATTTCTCAAATGAAAGAAATGAATGATGACACCAAATCAAAAAATCGTTTATGAGTTTATATTTTTGCAAGACCACCATGACTTTCACATACGTTTTCAATTTTGGTAAGGATGTGATTATCATGTGGATATGTTTTACTCCCACCATTTGTACTAAGGGATCTGTCAGAACTGTGTACCCTTCCTTGAGCAGTTCAGGATTTGTTCAGATTTTTTCATTAATCTACAGTGGGTTTTATCCAGTGATTGTTATCATTTCTGTACATTATCCACAGGTTTATGGGTTATATATAGATATGTATAAAATCACATCTATCATGTGCAAGTTCACATTTAAACTCAGACTGCATTTAAATTCGTTATTTCTCAGAGGTTTCTAACATTTCTGTGGAATGATTTTTGCATAATTCCTGTCACACACTCTACAAAACATCATCTTCATTACAGATCTTTAGTTATCCTTCTGGTCTTTCCTTATCTTTGCTATGCTTCCTCCAGGAGTCTCTGAGCTCTTCAACCAAAAAAGACAATTATGATACTTGAAAACAGTACATTTATATTTCAGATATTGTAGTACAGCAGTGTGGTGGTTTGGGGCAGGAAGCATATAAGAAATTATTTCTTATCTGGTAATGACAATACAACAACCAACATGCTGCACTGGAATAAGGAAAATTCATTTCTGTTCTGGGTAAATGCTGTGGTCTCCCTTTGGGTATGCACAAAGCAAATGAGCTTTGGCCTTTCGTGGTCTCCAGTGAAAACAAGCACAAACAAATGAATACGATTTATTAAGTATCAGTCTCATAAGAAGAAGAATGCATGGGGAAGTTAGTCCAAACTTTTGAGAAAGAACTTGATGCTTGAGTTTTTAAGGGGAGAATTTTGCTCCTTTTGCTATGGAGTTCATTTTGGAAAAAATGGCATCCTT